ATATAATATTTTATATTTTTATATTTTACTTTATTTTTAATTTTATTATTAGGGTTAAGGTTCTTAATTTTAGTTTAATGTATGTTTAATGTATGTAATGTATGTTTTGTATCTTGTATGCTACTGGATACTTGAATTTTCCTCGGGATAAATAAAGTATCTATCTATCATCAAACTTGTGTTTTGTAACCTATGAAGTTGCCCCCTGCTGGCCATAAGAATGAATGCAGGTTTAAGACACTTCAATATACAGATCCGGAATGTCGGTCCACTAATTATATACTGTCATTGGGATAGATGTGAGATTTTTTAAATCTTGACCGGTGACGCTTTTCTGTCAATCAATCAGCGTATAAAATTATTATATTATATTAAATATGAATAATATTAAATAAACTGTTGTGATTGGCCCAACCAGATCCAGGATAGGTGGAATTCAGATTGAATGACAGAGTGGCCAGATGCATCTGCCAAACAAATGCAGATTCATCTGGTTAAAAGGCAACAGCTAGGCTAGCTCTGCAAAAATTGACAAAAAATTACTCACAAGCTGTCGAGTTTGACTAGCTTGCAAATTAACAATATGCAACATGTAAAATAGACTGCTTTGGAGTCGTTTATGAGTGTAATTTTTACTTTCAACTGAGCTTTGACTGTGCTAAGCTAATATCCAGGGCCTATCCCTGTACTGGAGACAGAGATTAAACTGATATCAAGCTTTCTAGCTAAGACAGCAAATAAGCATATTTCCCAAATGTTGGTGTTCCTATAGAAGATTAGAGTCACAGATACAGTAGGTTCAGTGGAAGTTTTGTATAAACAAAAATAAACCAATCTTGTTCTGACCCAGTTTTGGATACAATGTTTCAGAGGTCTACAAAATATCTATGATGCCTACTAAAGAAAACCTGGACCATGCAACAGGAAAAAACACTGAACTGCCACAACGGGCAGTCCCATCCTGTCTTGTTTATTGGCCTTCGTGTTTTCAAACAACAGCTAATGAGAAGCAGCAAAAGCCAATAGACAAGGAAAAGAGGAGTGAGCATGGAAATCATCAGAGAGCGAGGAAGAGGAAGGCAGAAAAAGAGGGAAAAGAAGGAGCATCACTTCAGCTACCAGGCAGGCCAAAGTGGTAGACAGAGGCAGCAGTCAGCTGAAAAAGAAGCTGAGGCATGGTGGACAAAGAATTGAATGCATTTTTACTTACTGTAGATTTGCTACTAAAATAGGCAGAAGATAAGGCAAGATGGACATAGCATTTGTCACTTAAAAACCTTTCATGCCATTAAGTACATTATGAAAGATGATTAGAGGGCACCTGTGGCTGTGAAGAAACATTTAAAAGTTAGACTTTGATTTGAAATTCATAATTTAAATTCATAAATGCAAAAACATATATTACTGTATAGCTACTTCATTCTAAGGATTCCCATTGACATTTCCGGAAACATTATCAACATTGGCTTATAGAAGTCAACCCCATCCCCAACTCTGGTCCCAATGGGAATCATTGTTGTAAATGTGCTAATATCAGGTTTCCAATAGCTTAGTGAAAATGTTTAATTTTCTAAAAATGCTGGGCACAAAAACTGAAACAATTTACAAGAAAACAAACTGTTGTTTATGTTGACCTGAAGTTAGCAGATGTGTTTTCTTACTGGAAATGTGATTGTGACAGGTAGACTGCTGGAATCTAGAAAAGATACCAAATCTTTTAGTGTTCAGAGTATCGGACTGTACCGGCCTACTTTAACAACTGTTTTTGATTGTCTATTCCATAAGCCTTTCAACAACAACCACAAAATATAACACAATTCTGCAAGCTCTGCCCCACTGAGATCAGAAATCCTCTCAACACTGCATTTAGAATCTCTCACATCTGAATCCTTGTGTAACAGGAAACTCTCAATTCAATTCAATTCAA